GTGGCTGCCTGTGTTTTGAGGCAAGGTCTCACTCTGTTTCCCAGGCTGGAGTGCAGTGGTGCAATCAAAGCTCACTGCAGCCTTGAACTCCCAGGCTCAGGTGATCCTGCCACCTTAGCCTCCTGAATACCTGGGACTACAGCTGTGCACCACCATGCCTGGCTAATTTTTGTATTTTTTTTGTAGAGATGGGGTCTTGCTCTCTTGCCCAGATGGGTCTTGAACTCCTGGACTCAAGTGATCCTTGTCTTTTGGCCCCCCAAAGTGCTGGGATTGTAGGCATGAGCCACCATGCCTGGTCACATTGTCCTGTCCTCTCCTCTCCTCTCTTCTCTCTCTCTCTCTCTCTTTTTCCTCCCTTCTTCTTCTCTTCTTTCCTTTCCTTTTTTTTTTCTTTTTGAGACTGGATTTCACTCCTGTTGCCCAGGCTAGAGTGCAGTGGCGTGCTCTCAGCTCACTACAACCTCTGCCTCCCAGGTTCAAATGATCTTCCTGCCTCAGCCTCCCGAGTAGCTGGGACTACAGGCACACATCACCACACCTGGCTAATTTTCGTGTGTTTTTGGAAAGATGGGGTTTCACCATGTTGCCCAGGCTGGTCTCGAACTCCTGACCTCAGGTGATCCGCCTGCCTTGGCCTCCCACAGTGCTGGGATTACAGGTGGGAGTCACTGTGCCCAGCTGGAGAATAATTACTGTTCAGGGTTCCTGGGCTCTTACTATGTGCTGCGTGCTCCATGCTCAGCCTCTCGGCCCTCGCTCCTCGTACGTCCACCTAGATTTGAGGATGAGTGGCCTCTCCCGTCAGCCACGATCACATGCAGTTTCTCCTCGATCCTCAGCTCAGAGAGCTTACTCACGTTGTGCAGTGAACACAGCTGGCTGGGGAAGGCTCAGGAGCCGCACCCAGGAAGCCGACCTACAGATCCCATCTCAAACCATGACACTCTGCAGACTGCCCAGTGGCCAGAGCAGCTTCACAAAGAATCTTTGTTTCCTGTCTGCACCCCAAAAAATATCTGTGTTGGTCTCTTTGCCACGCAGAGTGAATAAAGAATAAGACAAACACCATCCATGCATACTTGGTGCTTTCAACCTAGCAGGGGAGACAGCAGTTAAGCCAGCAGCCTTGCCCACCATTATTCAATTGCACGTGTGATGAGAGCTACTAAGGAGAAGTACTGGGAGCCCCGGGCCTTCCGGAGGCAGTGCTGGTGCCTCAGGGAATTGCCCTGCATAAGTAACATATTGGTTGAATCTTGGAGGGTGAATTGGAGCTGACAGAGCAAAGTTTAGAGGTGAGAGGTATGTAGTGATTGGGAAAAGAATGTGGCTTTGGGCCAGGTGCGGTGACTTATACCTGTAGTCCCAGCACTCTGGGAAGCTGGTGGGAGGATTGTTGGAGGCCAGGAGTTCGAGACCAGCCTGGGAAACATAGTGAGACCCTGTCTTTACAAAAAAAAATTTTTTTAAATACCAGGTGTGGTGGTGCACACCTGTGGTCCCAACTACTCGGAAGGCTGAAGTGGGAGGACGGCTTGAGCCCAGGAATTTGAGGCTGCAATGAGCTATGATCATACCACTGCACTCCGGCTTGGGCGACAGAGTGACACCCTTTCTCAACAACAAAATTAAAAAAAAAAAAAAAGCATAAAGAATGTGGCTCAGCCGGGCACGGTGGTTCACGCCTGTAATCCCAGCACTTTGGGAGGCCGAGGCGGGCAGATCACGAGGTCAGGAGATCGAGACCATCCTGGCTAACACAGTGAAACCCCATCTCTACTAAAAATACAAAAAAATTAGCCGGGTGTGGTGGCGGGCGCCTGTAGTCCCAGCTACTCAGGAGGCTGAGGCAGGAGAATGGCGCGAACCTGGGAGGCGGAGCTTGCAGTGAGCGGAGATCGTGCCATTGCACTCCAGCCTGGGAGACAGAGTGAGACTCTGTTCTCAACAACAGCAATAACAAACAAAAAAAAAAAAAAAAAAAAGAGAGAGAGACTGTGGCTCTTTGGTTGGAGTTCTGCAACGCGTGGTCATTTGGTCATGATGAATCCTACAGGCACATTCTAGGGGTGAAGGAAGAACCCACAGGGCTTAGAAATGTGAATACATTTGCTGGGAAAAATAACAGGGCCCAGCATGGAGGGCGGGCCCTTCCCTATGGGGAGGGGGCATTCTCAGACGCGGGATTTACTGGGACTTCTGAATGGGTAACGTAATCACCAGCTGCACATTTTCAGTCGAGGGCATGGCTGCTTGGGCACCCCCTGTCACTGGGTAGCAGGGTGGCGACCGACCTGTTGAGGGCCACATGGTTCGATGACCAAGCACAGCTCCTCTGAGCTCACCAGACCCCTCCCTGCATCTTCACCCAGGAGCATTTAATGGGGTTGTCAGTGTGTGTTTTGGGGGGGATTGTGTCAGATCAGGCGTGTATTCACTTGGACGTTCTCAGTTGCAACTAATCAAAAGCAAAAAGCCAACTGGCTCAGGCAGTAGAAGGTAATTATTTAGTATTTATTTATTTTGAGATGGCGTTCCGTTCGCTCTTGCCGCCCAGGCTAGAGTGCAGTGGCGCGATCTCAGCTCACTGGAACCTCCGCCTCCCGAGTTCAAGCGATTCTCCTGCCTTAGCTTTCTGAGTAGCCAGGGATTACAAGCACACGCTACCGCGCCTGGCTAATTTTGTATTTTTAGTACAGACAGGGTTTCGCTGTGTTGCCCAGGCTGGTCTTGAACCCCTGATTTCAGGTGATCCACCCGTCTCAGCCTCCCCAAGTGCTGGGATTACAGGTGTGAGCCACCACGCCCGGCCAAAGGTATTTATTGATGAACATAATTGGGAAGTGCAGATATAGGAAGGGCCTCAGGTTTGGTTTGAGGACGGCCGTGGCTCCGTTTCTCCAGGATCCTGTTTCTTCCCACTTGATTTCATCCTCTGGGACTGACCAGACAGTGAGCAGGACACTAAGGAAGTGTCCGCTTCCTTTCCGCACCCCCTTGTTTCCTTTCCTCGGCTCAAGCCGGTAAGGCTGCAGCAAGAGAGGCCTGGAAGTCAGGCAGAAGCTTTTCTGCAGGCTGGGGCAGCGGGGGCCACGCCTCGCATTGCTACCAGAGCCAGTCTGAAGAGGGAGTCTGAAGAGGGAGTCCTTGCGGGGGGTGGGGGCCACTGGAATAGGGACCTGAGTGGCCGGGAAAAGTGTGAAAGTGAGAGGCAGTGGGAACTGCCATTGTGGCAATGAGGAGGGGAGTTCAGTAGATGTCACATCTCAGTGGGGCCAGGGGCCGCATGTCTGGTGGGCCAGGTGCATGCTGCCAGCCCCCAAACCTGGGAGATCCATGTCTCAAAAGGATGCAGGCCAAGGAGCCTGCCTGAGGAGGAATCGCAGCAGAAGGAGGCCTTGTGTGTGTGCCGGGATCAGAGGGCTGTCCTGTGAGCTCAGCCAGAGAGGGGCCTCCGCTCTCCTCTAGAGGCACGGTGTGGGGGAAGTCTACAGGGAGTCTCCAGAGAACCCCAGGGGAGCCCGGGAGAGAAGCAGCCAGCCCGGGAGCATCTACCCCCAAAGCAAGACACTGCCTCGGTCAGGTGACACCTGGGACTTTTTTGCTGTCCTTGTCACTAGTCCACCCTGGAGGAGCAGGAGTAATTGGAGGAGGAGGAGGAGGGAGCGGAGGGGCCGCAGGGAGCGCAGCTCCAGGCAGGCCAGGGCTGGGAGAGCCAGAGGTCTGAGTGGGTTGTGGGATGGAGTTCAGATTCAGAGACCGGGCCTGGATCCCTGAGAAAGTCTCAGGACAAATGCAGGTCTGCCTGAGACGGGTCTGGGGCCAGTGGGCGCCGAGGGTGAGGGCTGAGGACCAAGGAGCTTCGTGTTTGACTCCCGAGGGTGGCCTGCTTGGTGTACGTTCACCCTGGCAGGAAGAGGCTGAGGCAATGTCAGCCCTGCTGGGGAGCGTGCTGGGCAGGGCTGGTGACCTGTGTAGCGCCTGTGCAGGTAGGTGAGTGGGGGAACAGGTGAGCATGGGACGGGTGAGTGCGAACTGGTGAGCATAGAACAGGGAGGCTGGTCAGGTGAGTGTGGACCAGGTGAGCATGGGAGGGCTGAGTGGAGATGGTGTGTGTACAGGTGAGTGTGGAATAGGTGAGCATGAGATGGGTGAGTGGGAGACGGTGAGTGTGTACAGGTGAGTGGGAGACGGGTGAAGATGGGGCAGGAGAGTGGGAGACAGGTGAGCAGGCAACAGGGAAGCCGGGCAGGTGAGTGGAGGACCCAGGGGGCTGGACAGGTGGGTGTGCACAGGGAGGCAGGTGTCATCTTCTTCACAGCCTGAACTGCCTGCCCCTCTCCTGGCATCTGGAGCCTCTCGGGAGGGGAGATGAAGTTTCTGCCCCCACTCTAGCAGGATGGGGCAACGGTGTGCAGTAGCAGGATGAGGTTTCCCTTTCCTGCAGGGCTGGGCTTGTGGGTTAGGACCGTCACCAAGAGGCTCCTCCTAGGCCTCCGTGACCTCTGGACCCCCAGGAAAGGTGGGAAAGAATTTAGGAAGGTCCCGATTTCCCACTGGGTGTCGGGGTGAAGCTGGTGCACCTAACCGGTGGGAGTCACCTGGAGAAGCGGGGCTGGGCCCACCTGGCCACCCCCTTCTGGCCCCTAAGGCAGAGCGAGACCCCAGGGAACGGGCATGCTTGCTGGGTCCGGGAGTTCTTCAGACGCAGGGATGTGACCCCGGTGTGAGCAGCTCAGGCAGCCGCGGTGGTCGTGAATGGGGGGAGGGGGGAGCCCGGGCCATCACAGGCGGCCCCACGGCCTGCATCAGCCAGGGTGGGAGACTCGGTCTGAGTGTAGGGGGCAGGGGGCGGCGAGAGCGGGGGTCCTGGCCGCGCTGCGCCTGAACCTGCGCCGGTGGGGGATGGGGCGGGGACGGGGAGGGCCTGGGTGGGCCGGGGTTGGGGGGCCCGCGGGGAGGCGGTCGGGGGGAGACTGGCTGCAGGCCCGCGCGGGCGGCGTTGGGGGTGCAGCAGCTGCGCGCGGCGCGGGGGCGGGCGTGGAGGGCGGCGCCGCTGCAGTGCGGGGACCCGCTCGCTCGCTCGTTCGCCCGCCGTCCCCGCGCCCCGCGTCCCCGCGCAGCCGCCTCCTGGCCTTGGGCGCCGCGCATCCAGGTATGCGGGGCTGGGCTGGGGTCTGCGCCAGGACCCCCGGGCCTGGGAGGCCCCCGGGAATGCGGACATTTGGAAGGGTTTGGCCCCCAACCGGGAGTGGGGCGCGCGGGGCGGGGCCGGGCCTGGGGCGCCGGGTCGGGGGTCCCAGGAGGGCGCAGAGGCCAGGGCGGGGGCGGGGGCGGGGGACCCGGGGTCTCTGGGTGAGCGCCTTCCCGGCGGTCTGGGCACCCTGGGGGCGGCTTGGCAGGGGGCTGGGGTCCTGCGCTCCGCGGTGCGGTGCGGGCCTGGCCTGGCCATGGTGACTTCGCTGCGTGGCCGCCGCATTTGTTCTCCGCACCCCACCCCCCCACCACCGCCGGCTTCCCTTGTTTACCTGCGTTTCTGTCTTTTCCTGTGCAGAGGCCGGCCCAGCCCATCCACAGCCTCACCCTCATCTCTCCCTCCCCTGAGTCCGCGCGCAGGGGCCCCCCAGCATTCACATTCCACACGAGTGCCCCCCCCAATAAAGGGGGGATGGAGGAGGGCGAGGCCCTGGAACCCCCGGGCTGGACCCTCAGGGTGCTGGGCCCCCCACTCCTCCCACCCCGGAATCCTCAGAACTGCAGAAGGGGCTTCTTAGCCTCGCACCCCTGTCTGAGCCCCCTCCGCCCCTGCCGGGGTCTGTTGGGAGGGAAGGCTCTGGGGGTCGTCACATTTAACACCTCACCTGGCCCCGCAGAATGAAGGATCTTTGACAAACGCAGCATCAGTGACTTTCTTCCACGCTCCTGGGAGAAGCTTGGTTCACGCCGCCGCCTGCGTTTATCCGGCGCGCAGCCCCGGGCAGCTCTCAGGCCTGGGGATCTGTGTTTTCTGGACAGGAAGGAAGCAGCCGCCCTCGCCATGGCCTCCCCGCCCGTCTGCCCCTCGGAGGAGGATGAGAGCCTGAAGGGCTGTGAGCTGTACGTGCAACTGCACGGGATCCAGCAGGTCCTCAAAGACTGCATCGTGCACCTCTGCATCTCCAAGCCCGAGCGCCCCATGAAGTTCCTCCGGGAGCACTTCGAGAAGCTGGAGAAGGTGAGTGGCCCCCACCGCCCGCTGCTTCCCTTCGCAGGTGTCCTAGGGCGGAGGCGGCAGCCGGGGAAACCTTCCCTCCATCCTGTGGTCCTCGAAGGTTGGGTGCCCCAGAGACTGTCCGCCATCCTCCAGGTCCTTCCAGAGAAGCGCGGGGAGAGGCCGACCTGGGGCCCACCTTCCCTTGTTTGGTCTCCTGAGATTCATGCCCCGAGCCGGGGTCCTCGGAGCCACGGAATTCCCCCTTCTGCTTCCAGGGGGTTCCAGGTCTTCAGAGCTCTGGTGGAAGGAGGTTCAGGGTTTCAGGTCCAGGTGTTTCCGTAGCTTGTGAGGCTCACAGACAGTTTTCAGCTTGAGGAACCGAGATGAGGGCCAGGCCTAGTTAAAGATGCTGTCAGCACTTGGATAAAAGAAAATAGCTCCCACGGGATGGCTCACGCCTGTCATCCCAGCACTTTGGGAGGCCAAGACAGGCAGATCACTTGTGGCCAGGAGTTCAGACCAGAGTTCAGACCAGGTCAGCCAGGCCAATATGACGAAGCCCCGTCTCTACTTAAAACAATACAAAAATTAGCCGGGTGTGGTGGCGCACGCCTGTAATCCCAGCTACTGGGGTGGTTCAGGCAGGAGAATCGCTTGAACCGGGAGGTGGAGGCTGCAGTGAGCCGAGATTGCACCACTGCACTCCAGCCTGCGCGACAGAGCAAGACTCTCTCAAAAAAAAGGAGAAAGAAAATAGCTGCCATGGCTAAGAGGTCGGATTCCAGGTTAATCTTGCAGCAGTGGGAGAGGAAAGTGCGCTTCGGCCCGTGTCGTCGGGGAGAAGCCCAGGCCTGCTTTTCTCTCCGGGAATGATGCCTCTCATCCCCTTCCTGGCGTCCTGCATCTGGGTTCCTTTCGTAGAAGTGTGTGGCTGCGAAGTGGTGGCTGGGACAGGAGTCCCCGTGACACCCCCCGGCTGCGTTCCCTCCCCTCTCCGTGGGCTCCTCCCATCCTTGTTCTGGGCCCCACCCCGGGCTCTCTGCCTATCACCTAAGGTTTCTTCTCCTCTTGGTCCTTTTATCACAACTTAACTGTCCCCTGTGCCCATCTCTCCTGGGGACCAAATGGGAACTTGGGAAGCCCAGTTCAGGCTAAGGTCTGCCTTTGAGTGCCTGTGAACCACCAGGTCCCCATCCAGCGGTGTTTATGCTTTTGACAGAGGCTTCCTGTGATCACATAGTCCTAACGCAAAGGAGTGAATGTAGCTCTTCCCCTGGAAGCAATCCATGAAAAAACATTTTAAAGTAACGCATGCCTATTTAGGAAAATTTGAAAAGTTCAAGGCCGGGCACGGTGGCTCATGCCTGTAATCCTAGCACTTTGGGAGGCTGAGGCGGGCGGATCACGAGGTCAGGAGATCGAGACCATCCTGGCTAACACGATGAAACCCTGTCTCTACTAAAAATACAAAAAATTAGCCGGGCGTAGTGGCGGGCGCCTGTAGTCCCAGCTACTCAGGAGGCTGAGACACGAGAATGGCGTGAATCCAGGAGGTGGAGTTTGCAGTGAGCCAAGATCACGCCACTGCACTCCAGCCTGGGTGATAGAGCGAGACTCCGTCTCAGAAAAAAAAAAAAAGAAAAAAAAGAAAAGTTCGGAAGTGGAAAGAAGAAATAAAAATGCTCTGTAGTCCTCTCTACCGAATTCCCCCTCAAATGTCGTTTTTATAAAAATGGAGTCGTAGGCAAAGACATGGTGGCTTATACCTGTAATCCCAGCATTTGGGAGGTTGAGGTGGTAATATCGCTTGAGGTCAGGAATTCGACCTTGCCTCTCAAAAATATTTAAAAAGTTTGCTGGGTGTGGTGGCGTCTGCCTGTGGTCCCAGCTACCCGGAGGCTGAGGTGGGAGGATCACTTAAGCCCAGGAGTTTGAGGCTGTGGTGAACCATGATCACATCATTGCACTCCAGCCTGGGCAACAGAGCGAAACCCTGTCGCAGAAATACATACACACACACGTGCATACGCACGCACGCATACATACATACATGGATACATACGTACATAAGTCTTAGTTGCAGTCACATTATAGCTGCAATTTATATTTCATCTTTTTCATTTTTTATATTTTCTTTAAAGACCTCACTTTAAGTGGCTGCATAATGTGCTGTGGAAAAGATATAGTAAGGTTTTTCAACCTTTCCTGCATGAGGAATGAACAATTTAGTTCTTTCCTTTTTTTTTTTTTTTTTTTTTAGTATTAAATATTGGGGCCGGTGGGTGCGGTGGCTCATGCCTGTAATCCCAGCACTTTGGGAGGCTGAGGCAGGTGGATCACTTGAGGTCAGGAGTTTGAGACCAGTCTGACCAACGTGGTGAAACCCTGTCTCTACTAAAAATACAAAAATTAGCTGGGCGTGGTGGCGCAGGCCTGTAACCCCAGCTACTGAGGAGGCTGAGGCAGGACGACTGCTTGAACTTGGGAAGCGGAGGTTGCAGTGAGCCGGGATCACGCCACTGCACTCCAGCCTGGGTGACAGAGCGAGACTCTGTCTCAAAAAAAAAAAGAAAGAAAGAAAGAAAAAATTGGGGCCAGCGGGCGCAGTGGCTCATGCCTGTAATCCCCACACTTTGGGAGGCCCAGGAGGGTGGATCACTTGAGCCTAGGAGTTGGAGACCAGCCTGGCCAACATGGTGAAACCCCATCTCTACTAAAAATACAAACATTAGCCGGATGTGGTGGTGCATGCCTGTAATCCCAGCTACTTGGGAGGCTGAGGCAGAAGAATCATTTGACCTGGGAGGCAGAGGCTGCAGTGAGCTGACTGGGACACTGCACTGCAGTCTGGGCGACAGAGCGAGACTCTGTCTCAAAAATAAATAAATTTTTTTAAAAAGTATATGGGAGGATGTGTGTAGGTTACATGCAAATACAACACCATTTTATATCAGGGACTTCAGCATCCATGGGTTCTAGTATCCTTAGAGATTCTAGAATCATCTCCCATGGATACCAGGGGATGACTGTACCACACACCGGGCATCTTAAACAACAGAAACATCTCCTCCCACAGTTCTGGAGGCTGAAGTCTGAGATCAAGGTGTGGCGGGATGGCTCCTTCTGGGTCCTTGCGGGAGAAGGTTCTGTGTCTCCCCCACTCTGGGTGGTGCTGGCGGTCTTGGGTGGTCCAGGCTGGAAGTCTGAAATGAAGGTGTGGTGGGATGGCTCCTTCTGGGTCCGTGAGGGAGAAGGTTCTGGGTCTCCCCCGCTCTGGGTGGTGCTGGCGATCTTGAGTGGTCCAGGCTGGCAGACACATCACGGGTCCCTGCCTTTATCTTCACATGGCGTTCTGCCCCCTGTCAGTGTCTGTGTCCAGATCTCCCCTTTTCATAGGGACACCAGTCATCCTGGACCAAGGCCACCGCAATGACCTCTTGTAACTTCATCACCTCCGTCAAGACCCAGCCTCCAAATAAAGTCAACTTCTGAGGTCCTGAGGTTAGGACTCCAGAACGTCTATTTTTGGGGACACCATTCACCGATCCCAGCGGCCTTCCTGGGCGTGGGTGGGGCAGTTTTTCTCAGGCCTTCCTCCAACGGGAAGCCATTGCTGAGTGAAAATAGCAGGTTGCAAGATAGGATCTGTGGTACAGTTCCATTTTTGTCGAAAGTGATGCCAACGATAATGTGTTATATGCAAAGAAAAAAGTCTGAGGGGCGTCCACCAAAATGTTGATAAGAGTGGCGTCTCAGGGCACGATTACGGGTGATTTTTGTTTCTGTGTTCTGCAGTAGCCGATAGGACCTTTGGGGCGCTTTCGTGAAATCTTTGAAGTCGCGTGCATGTTCTACGTGTGGGTGCGTTTAACTGGGAAGGAGGCCCCTCAGCTTGCGATGGGAGCTGAGATCCCCAAATATAAACCACTTAACGGGGCCCTAAAATTCCATGGAGACTCATTTTCTGCTGTGTTTTCTGGACCAGTGAGGTGCTGTGGAATGTTTGCAATAGAACCAGGCAGTGTGCCTCTGGGTAGGGCAGCAGCCCTGGTGGAGAGGGGGCAAGGTCTGGGCCACTCCCTCGAGGCCAGCCAGGGCTGAGTGGCAGGCAGAAGCCTCTGATGGAGGGTTTTTCTCCACTTGTATCCCAAGCAGGGTGCATGTTTGTGAGGCTTTCATAAAGCACCTGGGATAAAGTCACACAGGCCGGCAGGGATGACCCAGCACTCAGTGTGCCGTCCGGGCTGGGCCTCTGTTGCTCTGGCCTTCATGAGTGAGTTTTTCTACGGTGGAGATTTAAGCAGACAAAATATTCCTTATTTGGGCCGGGTGCGATGGCTCATGCCTGTAATCCCAGCACTTTGGGAGGCCGAGGCGGACAGATCACGAGGTCAGGAGATCGAGGCCATCTGGCTAACACAGTGAAACCCCATCTCTACTTTAAAAAAAAAAAAAAAAAAAAAAAAAAAAAATTGCCGGGTGTGACGGCGTGTGCCTGTAGTCCCAGCTACTTGGGAGGCTGAGGCAGGAGAATCACTTGAACCCAGGAGGTGGAGGTTTCAGTGAGCCCAGATTATTGTGCCACTGCACTCTAGCCTGGGTGACAGAGTGAGACCCCATCTCAAAAAAAAATAAAATAAAATAAAAATAAATTCTTATTTGATGGCAAAACACAGTGTGGGAGTTTCCCGAGCAAGATGTGATCTTTCCGAAGATTATCCAAAATAACGCCGTCAATCTTCTTTTTTGAGACAGCGTCTGGCTCTGTTGTCCAGGCTGGAGTACAGTGGCATGATTTCAGCTCACTGCAACCTCCACCTTTCAGGCTCAAGCCATCCTCCCACCTCAGCCTCCTGAGTAGCTGGGACTACAGGTGCCTGCCACCATGCCTGGCTAATTTTTGTGTTTTTTGTAGAGATAGAGTTTCTCCATGTTGCCCAGGCTGATCTTGAACTCCTGAGCTCAAGCGATCCTCCCTACTCAGCTTCCCAAAGTGCTGGGATTATAGATGTGAGCCACCG